TCTACCAAGCAGATATGTCACATAACTGTCACCAAGTGAGTTTTATTTCTTGCATAAAACTATTTCCTCTTACTTCTGCAACATCAAGTTGCTGCAACTGTACCTCTGTCATGTTCACTTGAAGCCATAATAATTTAATATGAAGAAATACTAGATCAGAATATTAAATGTATTTATTAGTAAATATATAATTATAGGTTACACATACAATTATGCACTGTACAATCAAATTTTCTCCAGGCGCCAGTTGTTCAAGGCTGGATTAGCTTAACCCTAGGTTAACCTGACAGCTTGTCTATAAAAGTAGAAATCTTTCTTCAGAGATCTTGTCTGGATCGATACGAGTTTTCTTCTCTGAAGTTTAAAATAAACAGACGTGTACAGTAGAAATACACAAACTAAAATAGCAGGCTAAATTTTAACCCAGGGTTAGCGCTAGTCCAGCATTGAACAACCGGCCCCTGGGGCAGAGTAATTACACTTTATACTATTATAACCTACACTTATTTAAAATTTCCTAATGTTATATCATTTTATTTATATACATGGCCAGAAATAAATAATGAGTACCTAAAAGTCATTCATTGTTAATGTCAAGTCTCACTCAGCTGGTTTGCTTTTAGTTACTCCTCTTCGAGCCCCACAGCATTGATCCTGTACCTTGTACTGCATAGCAGCTGTCTTTCCATAGACTGTATCATCCAGACCAAAAGCTGAAAAAAATAGGAATTGATAAAATCAGATTTTTTTTCTGTGTGGTAATTCCAGCCATGTAATCTATTGTGTAACTAATTTTGTGTAATAGTTTGTGTTAAATGGCAAAATCTGTAAAATAAAAAATAAAATAAATATAATATGTTTTAGATTTAATTGGCATTGAGACAGCAAGAATAATCTAGATAGTGTTAGGCCAAATAGGGGATTCCCTTATGGTAGCTATGTCTAATGGGTTACCAGATATATAATTGGCTTAATTAACCATCTACTAGGTTACATTTGATTTAATACTATTTTTGTAAAGTATATTACAGGAGACATTAGGACTTACTAATGAGTTAGGCCAAAGAAATCACCAACCCTAATCTTTTTATATGAGATATTAGTTTTGCATATGAGAAATAGAAACCCAGGCATTTCTTTTTTTGGACTTAGTATGAAGCATGGAAATATATTTAAAATTGTTTGGTATCAGACAGAGTAAATTAACAAGACAGAGTAAATTAATTTAACAAGACAAAGCACATTAGGCCAAATTGCAGGTCAATGGGTCCAGCTACAGCCCCCCCCCCTGCATTATTGCAGGCCTATGGACAGCTGTACCTGTACCATACTGTAATGACTCATTCATGACAGAAAATTGGCTATTGCACACTGACCCTTCATACTTCTGGCATAATTTAGATTATTGAAGCACCAAACTACTAAAGCCCTGGGGCCGGTTGTTCAAAGCTGGGTTACAGTAGCTTAACCCTAGGTTAACCTAAAATTCAATCCAAACTTCCTGACAGCTTGTCTATAAATTTGAAAATATTTCTTCAGATATCTTGTCGGGATCGATAGGAGTTTATTTTTTTGATGTTTTGAAACAGACTTGTAGAAATACATGAACTAAAACAGCAGGTTAAATTTAACCCAGGGTTAGCACTAACCCACCTTTGAACAACCGGCCCCTGTTGTACACTATGCTCAGTTTTTAGTACGGCACAGATAAAACTGGTGCCTGTACCAAATTTATCTGTGCTCGGCCTGTATGAATAGGGCCAAGCATGGTAAACATGTTACAGGTACCAAAATTGAGCACAGTGTCTGTGTTAACAGGCCTTAAATCACAGGATTCATGTGTAATTATGTTGTTACTAGTTACTAAATTTTTGTAGGGGCTGTTTATACGATCGAGACTGATTTGTCTGGCCTGGGTGGCCACCTTAGCTGGGCCAGTTTGTCATTTTAACTAAAAGCAGACTATTTATTCTTGTTAATTCTTACCTTACAACACCAGTTTGTCAACTCAATCCAGATCTGATTGTTGTGACTTGAGAACAATATTTGGAGCTAGGCTATAACCCAGTTCCAATATTAATCTGAAAATATATAAAGAGAACATTCGAGGCATTGTCTCAGTGCTCGTACATCCTCCAGCTTACTGCGCAAGACTCTCCCCTTGACAAGTAAAATTGTCTGGCATTAGGAAAAGTAAAGCAACACAGTTGCAGCTTAATGGGTTAAGGATAAATACACTGATATATCACATTCAATTCTGTAATTCTTCTGTATTACAATCCTTATTCATGTATTAAAATGCTAACATATCTTTAACAGCATTCAAATGTTTAATATATTATTTCGTATTGTTAAAAGCACAAGTATGTTTAATATATTATTTCATATAGTTTTATTATTAAGTTTAATATACACCCTTGACAAAGGTCTAGAAAAGTGCCAAATTATTACTGTATATGCCATTAATGCCAAAGACAATTATTGCTAAATTTTTGATATTAATAGTGCATTAGTGCACAATTTAGTATGTACAGAATTTACTATAATAGATTCGAATTGATATTTTATTCTTTCTTTCCTTGCCAGAAACCAACATTTTGTATGTTTCTTATGCAAATTGACGCGGCAAATTCAAAATTATATTCAACAGAATTTCAGACACATGGCTCAAGTAACAATCATATTTTCACTACATTCTTTCACAATTTAAAGTGCTTGAATAACAAGTCAAAATAAAACTACTCTTACCTGTGAGAACTGAATAACATTTTACGAACTTTTCCATGCCTTTTCCATCGTTTGGGTTTGAAATTTCAATAAATTTCTTCACCATGTAAGACATGTAAATGTGCTTTCAAATTTTTAGCACAAAAATTCGAAACGACGCTATCCCATGATACTTTGCGCTCCCACACTTAAACTAGGTACCAGGCCTCCAGGCAATGCGCGAACTATTGCTTCAGTTGTCATGTAAGGCATGTAATATAGTTTCTAGCTCTACAAATATAAGGAATATTCACAAATGTTTTCAATCAGTTATTGACGGTTAATTTATTTATAATAAATTCTCGGAAAATGAAAATTCTCTACAATGATTCAATAAAACATGGAAAGAACTCAACTTTAGAAATTAAATTAGAATGTAGTGATATGGTATCAGGGATGATGGAAAGGGGGTGGGGCAAGGTCTCCTTTCCTAAAGAGGGGAAATGTAGCATTTTAATATAAATAAAACAATATTTTTGTCCCAAACTTACTTTAATAACAAATTAATTAACAAAGATAAATATGACAGAAGAGAATTTGTATATTTATTTAGCTATTTCCCAAAGTCCTGGGTCTAGTTGCACAAATCCCTTGTTGGAGGGACAAGAAATATAGCAGCACACGTTTAAATTACAGTTTAATGTAAAAAGAAGATATTTCATTTTTGGTAATGTGAATATACTAACCCATATAGAATTACAGTAATGTGAATATACTAACCCATATAGAAACTAAATCGAGGATGACATGTGACATCTTGTTAAAAAAATACCAGTATTGAGGAAAATATATCATTTTGGAAAAATATGCAAAAATTGCAAAAGATGTTATACTTAAATTTTAACAAATTTATTTTCATTCTTCGAGAAAATTTAAGTAAAAATTATTTATTATTAACCATTATTTCTTATGTTGAGAATTTGATTTCTTGTTTTAAAAATTTTCTGATGACAAAATCGTAAGAAAACATTCATATTTCAAGAAAACAAATGTAATTTAAGATATGTTAAGAGAATTTTCCTTATTTCAAGAAAAAATGTCTTGCAAATCAAGTACTTCTCATTTTGAAAATCCGTTTTCTAATTAAGAAAATTAGTTTCTCATTTCAACAAATATTTTCTTGAAGTAAGAATTGTTTTCTCAATATATAAGAAATTATTTTTTGCTGTGTAGTTACAGATACTGTATAACTATATTGACAGACAATTGGCATATCTACATATATCTGCAATTTTTGTGCAGATATTTTGCAGATATTTTGACAGACAATTGACATATCTGCAAATATCTGCAACTTTATGCAGATATTTTGCAGATATGTTAACAGATAATCAACATATCTGTAAAATATCTGCAACTTTTATGCAGATATTTTGCAGATATTGTAGACCTTGTTGCAGTTATGCTGCAGTGCTGCAACAGATATGTGTCAGATACTTGCAGACCTTTTGCATAGTTACAACAAAGCATGGTAGATATGAGAACTATTTTCCATTTCATGCTCTTACTAATAGTGAATTTGAAACATTGGGTTCTACAATCAGATTAAGCCAAAGTTGATATGGATAGGCTAAGCCAATTAAGATTTAATCCTTTTCAAACAAATCAAAATATAGCACTCTCTCCGGCAATAATATTATATTAACCTTGATACCTGTTTCAACACAAATAATATATGTTGTGATTATTTCCTACCAACGGATTTTAAAACAGGGATTGAAACAAAAAATATACAAGGAAAATTTCCATTGATGCATCTAAACATAAGAAGCATAGCAAATAAATTTGACTCTTTCAAAAATTTAATTGACACTTTGAATATATCATTTCAGATAATAGGTCTGACTGAGACTTGGCTAAATGACAATAATATGAATTGTTTTACTTTGAATGAATACAGGGATGCCGGAACCACGGGTGCAGCAGGTGCAGTTGCACCCGTTGCCTTTTATCTTCACAACTTTACGGGTGCACTACGGGTGCACAATGGGTGCAGAACGAAACAGATTTGACAGAAACAAAATACTTATTTGAACCATTGAGCATTGTTTTTGCTTCAAGTCGTGTCTCACTCCTTGGAATATTATTATTTGTACATTATATTGCGTGTAACATGACGTACTGATGGACTAAAGTCTTGACGAAATTTGGCGCGGTCATCAAAGCAAAGGCGCCAAAATCGATGAAGCATTTAATATCATAATGTTTAATTCAGTTTCTCGAAGATTATTTGAATGTCTAAAAAAGATAGGGTTTCTGCACAGAAGCGGAAGTTGCTAGATCAGGCGGGGGCTGCTCGAGGTAAAAAAAAACTTAATTCTTTCTTTGATATACAAGCACCAGTACAACATGTGAAAGTTGTGGACACCGTCGGCACAGCGAGTCAAATCGCCAACAATCAAAGTCGTCCCATTGCTGCAGAAGAGCTTGATAATACTGAAGTAATAGGCGAAGATGTGGATATCTATTCACGTCCACAAAACGAAATTGAATTTGAATCTAATGTAGACCACAACTCTGTCAACAGTCACACACAAGATGTGGAGTGGATAAGTACAGAAGAATTCACCTGGACGATTAGGTATTTTAGGTTCATATATTTACAGTATATCATTAGATTTCATCATTCATCATAAAATAATAATTGTCCACACACACTGGCGTGGGCAGCGTCGATAATTGGAGGGGCAAATATTCATATATTCATGTTCACAGACCTTAAAAACAATCGATTTTAAAAGAAATTAATAGTGCAGAACATATATGAATATTCGCCCGCTCAATTATCGACGCTGGCTACGCTACTGTCCACACAAACAATAAAATGCCGAATTATCTAAGCAGTGCTATACTAAAATATCAACAATGTTATAATTAAGCACTCATATAAAGTGAGATTCATCCTAGGGCTCAGCATGAGAAGCTTCAGCAGCACAAGTACCTAATAACAAAATTGTTTGCATTCATTCGCCTAATTTTCTCTAATGATGGTGCTAAAGATAAGAAATTGCAAAGATACAGAATGTACTGTAATAATTTTAGAATACTTATCACATTTGGGTGGGTGCACCCCAAATTATTAGCAGTGTCTCACTGTGTTTCGTATTAATTATCGCTGAAAGCCAGTGCTGCACTGCCCTTGTGTCCAGTGGAGGTGGCATTTTTTGCTTTTTTTTTTTTGGGGGGGGGGGTTGAGAGACAACCCGATTCTTTTTGAGGGGTATGTGATAGCTCATAGTCCATTATATATAGGACAGTACGTATGTTTCTTGTGTTTGGTAGTCTCATGTTTTTCTATCAAACTATAATCATCAAATAGAATAATTGTACACAAGCATTGTGTAGATAAAATATATATTTAAAAAGTTGTCTCTGTTAGACGTTTCAACCAGGTTGCTACGACCTGACTGATGAAGGCCATACGCATATATACTAAAACTAGAAAATACATGCATGCAGAAACCCTCGCCTTGCTGACAAAACCATTGTATTTTCCGAACATGAAGTTCCAAAGTAGTTGTCATGGTAACACGATAATTTTTTAAGAATATTCTTACAAATGAAAAATCGCCTAAAAATATCACTTTTAATTACAAAATTATTAATTTCCCAACATAAATATATGTTAGGTATGTTATTATTAGCCTCAATTTAAGGTAAAATTCAACCACAAGCGCTACGCAAAACGTTTTAAAGTCACTAGTGTTCTTTATAAAACTAAACTGCCTTTTAAAATGGCTTTATCGATAAACTTTGAGTTTGCAATAAAATGATTTCAAATTCTCGCTTGCAAATAACTCAGTGCTTTCTTTTTTATTTAGAAATTCAATATCATATTAAAAAAGGGAATCAATATTAATTAAAGATACACTAAAATTATATGCTGTTTGTTTAGTTGTTTCATATACGCAAAGGCCGTCGGGTTTTAAAGCCATTATAAAATCAATATTTAAAACAAAGTTACCTTCGTTAACGTCGGCTCCCTTCTTTTAGCCGATTCTTTCGCAGTTTCATTTTGAGAGAGCTTTTGAAATTTACAAATCTTGCAAAAATGCGAGTAAAAATGAAGTATATTTGCAAGAAATTTATCAATCATCAAATCAAGAAATGTTTGCTATTTCGCTGTCGTGATGCAGTCATGCCAGTCGTTATAATGCAAAATTTAAACTGGACCAATCAGTGTCCGCTATTCATGACAGTCCGCCATATTTTTGAGATCAGTGAGGATGACCACCCATCGTTGGTCACCCACGCCCGCGATATTTGATGAACTTTAGACTCCGCTAATGCTTTCGTTTCCCCTGGTGTAAATAGCCGGGGGGAATTAGTACCCTCGCACGGCGCTTTGCGCCGTCGGCTCGGGGATAAAATGCTAGAGTGCTAAATTTTCAAGGGAGCAAATTAGGAGGGGGGGGGGGATAAATATTAGGTGACAGATGCCCAACCCCCCTACCCCCTTGATGCCGCCACTGGTCGTGTCCAATTCACCCTGTTCTATTATTAGAGGGGAGAGTCGAAAAAAGGACAGATGTTTCAATGGTAAATGGCTTACAACTTGGCCTTGGTTGCAGTACCACAGAGGAAAGCAAACTGCATTTTGTTCCATCTGCTCATCAAATCAAAAGGAAGGAGGTCATGATCCCAAAGCAACATTCATTTATAAAGATGAAACATCAGATGGATTTTCGTCATGGAACAAAGGCCCTGAACGCTTTAACATGCACCAGTTATCTGATTACCATAGGCAGTGTAAGACAAATGAGTTGTTAAAAGAAAAGGAAAAGATACCGCAGCTTCTTAGTGATGAAGAATGCAGAAATAATAAATTACGGCAAGAGGGGCTAGAAGCCCATTTTGGGACCCTAAAAACACTCCTTCGACAAGGTTTAGCCATTCGACGCCAGGAAGATAAAGAAAGCAATGCCTACCAGTTTAATAAAGATAAGAGTCAACATATTCCTGGGCTAAAATTATTAATGAAAGAGAACAGGTTTTTGTCTCACAGCTTGCTTGCAGAGCAACAGGAAATGCTTGTACTCGAGGCTAGACGAGCACTAAACATGGAGCTCCAATGTGCCAAATACTATGTCATCATTGTAGATAAGGCCACAGACATCTCAAAGTCAGAACACATGTCCTTATCAGTCCGTCACTGTACTGAGTATGAAGTAAAAGAAGATTTTATTGGCATTTATGAATGCAGGGAAGGTGTAACAACAGATGCTCTGTTTGAATACATCAGAGATATCTTAATAAGGTGTCAACTGGATGTGATAAGATTAGTTGGAATGACATTTGATGGTGCAATGGCCATGAAATCACTGGCAAGGAAAATCAAAAGTGAAATGAACGAATCAGCCATATTCATTCACTGTTTAGCGCATTGCCAAGAACTGATCTTCAAAGATGCCACCAAGCATTGCCCAGCATTGGAGGACGCTCAGACACTATGTGAAGATCTGTATGTTGTTGTAGGGATCAGCCCTAAACGTGTGGCTCTATTTGCCAAGATCCAGGATGAGATTGACAGTGATGATGTGTTGCGCCTCCAGAACCTCTCAAGGACTAGGTGGACAACAAGAGGGGCTGCAGGAAACGTTATAACTTTAAAGCATGCAGAACTATTAGCAACTTTAAAGATTATTTCCGAGGACAAAAATACTGATAGCAAATGCAAAGCCAAAGCAAAGGGGCTTCTCATGAAACTGGAAACCGCCAAGCACATGTTTAATATGTTTCTTATGAGAGATCTGGCACACATTCTGTAAATGAACTCAAAAAATCTACAGAAAAATGATGTCACGGCGGAAGAAGCAATGGACTGCATCAACAAGATTGAAATAAGGCTAGCGGAGATGAGATCCAGTGCTCAAGAATTTGAAAAGGTAGTACAAAGTTTAACAGAGAACTGAGAACGCCAATGACTAGTAAAATATGTGTATATAAATATTACAGTATAAATATTACCAATATCTAGTCATTTCAGTGTATTTATTATAGCTACATATACGTTTTATTTTCCAGCTCATTAGGAAAGTTGAAGATTTGAAAATACAAATTGATGTGACAAATGAAAGCAGACCAAGAAAGGCACCAAAAAGACTCGAAGACTTTATCGCTCATGATGTGGCACCCAGTGGACACGATTCCAATGATCTTAAAACGGAACTCAAACGTGTATATATATGTGCGATTGACAGCATCGTGAGTTTGATGAAGGAAAGGTTTGATCAAAATGACATTAAAACAGTCAAAGATATCAACCGAATGCTAATCGCATGTGCTAACAACGAGGTCGATGTCACCACTGAATATGTCATTAAGCACCTTGGCGTCGCTGCGAAATTCGTGCAAGTAGAACTTTTGATTGACGAATTGAAAGACCTACATGTCCACGTCAATTTGTACAACATGGAACTTAAACTGGAATCTATGCCTGTAATTAAAAAGGTTACTGCTGTATCAACTATCCAAGGCGTGTTGAATACGAAGCCTGTCTCGAAAGCTTCACTTCCTGAGACGCATAAGCTGTTAATTCTCTTGTTAAGTGTTTTAAGTGCCTTTTCATTTTTGTTTGTGCCCTTTTGTCAAAAATATGCCCTTTTTAATAACAAATTGCACCCGTTGCCCTGAATAACTTCCGGCATCCCTGAATGAATACAAATATCTTGATTCAAATAGATCAAATAAAAGAGGTGGTGGTGTAGGTTTATATGTTTCAAGACAACTAGATTTTAAAAGTCGAAATAAATTAGATAAAAACATATATAATACAATTGAGACAAAGTTCATCGAAATAATAAATAAGAATGGTAAAAATATCATTATCAGGATAGTCTATAGACCACCAAGTGGTAATTTTGAATCATTTAAACAACCACTGAATGTAATATTAGAAATGGTCGGCAGGGAAAATAAACTATGTTACTTGATGTGAGTCTTGTGATTATGCCAATTATTTTACTGAACAATTATTCACATCATCCTTTTTCCCACTTATTACTAAAGCAACTAGAATAATCATCACACTGCCACATTAATCGATAACATTTTTACCAATAACCTGGAACAACTTGATGACAGTATCAACGACATCATTTTCAGCGATATTTCAGATCACTTGCCAATAGTGCATATATTCAATACTAATATTTCTGGTAAAAACACCAGGGAAAATCTTAATACAACATATCAAAGAATATTTGAATACAAGTCGTTTCGCCCCCAAGTCATTTTGCCCCAAGTCATTTTGCCCCAAGTCATTTTGTCCCCAAGTTGCTAAGTCGATTTGTCTCAACGTTTCGTTGCCAAACAACTTCAAATGATGGATATATTAAAAATATAGTCAAGAATACACAGACATATAAATGTTGTCATTGTCACTGAGTAACTATTTGCAAGCTACCCTTATGTGTGCGATTTTTTTCATGAATGTTTATGTTTCAAACATTTTATATTGTCTGTTTCATTCCATACATATTTGAAAGATGAGTATAATACTGGGATTGAGTCATTTTTCTATTTATAATTTGATATTCTTTCATTTTGAAAGAATATTGTTTTGTTCGGCTATTGTCAAAACCTAATCACCGTTCTGGGAATTGTTTCGTTCGTCCATTGTAAAAACTAATCACTGCGTTGATTTCCAACTTTGTCAAACCTTTTCGCACTTTTGTTTTCGTTTGAAATGTTACGTTTTGTCAGTAATTCTGTCACCTTAATAGTGAATAGCTTTTTGCGTGTTTGCTGTTTGATCCATATGTCCACAATACTCGCAAATATGGGTGATTTTGTTTGTTTGTAAGAGATATTGAATTCACTAGCTAACTTGGGGCTGAAAGACTTGGGGGCGAAACGGCTTGGGGGCGAAACGACTTGGGGGCGAAATGACCGGATACCGAATATTTAATGAAACTATTACAGAAGCATTTAAAAATGCAATTAAATCCCTTTCATGGAACAAAATATTAAATGAAACAAATGATGTGGAAATGGCCTATAATGAGTTTTTGGAAACGTTTACAGATGTATACCAGGCAAATTTTCCACTAAAGAAAAAACAAAACAGTAAAAAAGTAAATAAAACAAAAAGTCCATGGATGACTAACAGTATATTAAAGTCAGTTAGAAACAAAAATAAACTTTACAAAGCCTTTCTCATGAATCGAAATAGCAAAAATGAACAATTGTACAAAGATTATAAAAATAAACTAAACCATATTATAAAAAGGACAAAGAAAACCTACTATAAGCACCAGTTAATAAAATATAAGCAAAATTCGAGAATGATGTGGAAAACCCTAAATGAATTACTCAATAGAACAAAACATCCCCGAATCTGCACAGTCAAAACGTCCCCAAGGCCAAAAACCCCTAACTCTTGTGTTCAAATAAATTGAACTGCAACTAAATTATAAAAGAATAAACATGTTCATAGACATAGAGTTACGACATGGGAGTATGCAACTCTGAATTAATTGCTTTATTTGGCAACATATTTGCAAATAATTGTAATGGTGCCAAGATTTCAGAATGTTTTAGTGTTTGTAAATTTAAGCCAACTGTCATGATGCATACATACCCTCACCAAATCACCAATATATGAAATTTAGCAAGGAAATTTAGCCACTAAACAACATATTCACCTAATAAAATCATAACTATCTGACCCTGGTTGAATATATCAAACCGTGGTTGATTTAGTTCCTTTATCAGATCAGAAGAAATCCAAAAATATTATGTGTGAAAATAGTTTAAAATTACTCCAAAACTGACAGAATATCTGACATTTAGCCAACAGATTTGAATTTATTTGGGATATTTTGACATGAGTTGGTGGGGACGTTTTGACCTGGGGACGTTTTGACTGCAAAGCCATCAAATATATTAGATGACCTCAAAACAATAGCTGACAATTTCAGTGAGTATTTCATAAATATTGGTCCTAGTTTGGCAAATAAGATAAAAAACAATGATAATAACAGGTTCGAAAAATATCTCAAAGGTAGTTATCAATCCAGCTTCTTTCTTAATCCTATCACAGACAGTTGAAGTTGAACTGAAAAATACGAAATCAAGATTTCATAGAAAAACTGTGCCCTCGGTCTTGAAAATGTCCCTCGCCCTTTGGGCTCAGCCGTTTTCAAGACCACGGGCACAGTTTTTCTCATCCGGACCTCGCAGCCGGTAAATAACATATATATATTTACCATACTAGCTTACTTACATGTTAATTAGTGGCAACTGTTTCATATGTTCTTTTTTTTAATTTTTTGCTGCTTAATTTTGGCTTACATGGATTAATTTCTCATTTTGTCTGTCGGGTACCGATGTGGGCCATCGGCCCAGTATTTTTATTTGAATTTTTTGTTGTATTTTTGACATTCGTAGCTTTTTTTCAACTTTTTGCTGCTTAATTTTGGCTTTCACTTCTGCATGTTGGCAGCTCTCTCCTTACATTTTTTATTTATTCGTATGACATAAGCAAGGTAAAAAAACATGCAGGAAGTAATGAGAACACTTGTGAAAGCAAATGAGTGTGGCAGACCGAGTTCACATGTGCTGATGTACACAACGTGCCCGTCTTGTGGTGATGATCGTGATGAAACAGTTTGTGAACTTGTCAAATTGCAAATAGTTGATTGTAAGACTATTGAAGATGAAGAGGCAATTGTGAATTTGCCTGACCCTGACCGAAAAATCCTGTCGAACAAGCAGCCCAAAATAACACATCCGAGCGAGCAGTGATTTAAGTTAATAATTTTGTAGAGTTTATGAAGAATAGCTATAGTGATAGGCAGGCGCTGCTCGGTCCCAGTCCCTTGTAACCGTTTGACTCCACGTAAAACACACTCCAACCCGAAAAGGTCAAACATGTTGTAGGGCCCTCAATCTTTTCTGGGGCCAAAGGAATACCAGTGTCAATCGCCAACTGTGGTTTCTCAATCTTTTTGTAGCATTTACTGTCATCAGCAAACATGGGAACAATGCTGTGATTAGCTGCTTCGGTAAGATCATTTGCATATATCAAGAACAGGAGTGGACCAAGTAAACTTCCTTGTGGAACCCCCGAGGTGGCATGAAGGTAGGAAGATGCGACTGCGTTGACCACTACTTGTTGACGTCTATTGCTCAAGTAATCTGAAAACCAATTCAATAACAAGGCCGAAATACCTTGCTGTTGAAGTTTAAGTAGAAGTTTTGGATGGGAAACAGAATCGAAGGCTTTCAAGAAATCCAAGTATATCATATCAGCTTCTTTACTGCTGTCTAGAGCTTCGCCAATGTCATGAAAAACACCGAGAAGTTGAGTGGAGCAAGATCGTTTTTTGCGGAATCCATGTTGAAAATCACTCAACGAAGTAAAAGTTGACTAATCGGATGAACAATTAGACAAAAAAGTTAATTAATCGGATGAACAAAAAAAAAAGAACTCAACACCAGCATCCAGGAGGGCAAGCAAGAAGGTTGTGGTTGGAACGGACTTGTTGGACCCTCGAATGAGGTGCGCAGCAGCTTCACCGGATGGTAGTACAATGTGCCCGTTTGCACTAAAGTACTGGCACAACTGTAGTTTGGTGTCGTTGGAGAAGCCGCAGAGGGTTATGATAGGATTCCAGGTTAGTATGATGTACCACCAATTCTCCTGTCTCCACAGTCTTCCTTTGTGCTTTGATAGTTGCAGCGAACTGCCCACAAATGACTGGAGCACACCAAGTGTTTGTTCATGCTCTATTGGGATGTAAATGCCAGGCAGTGTGTGTCACAAAATCCCACCAATCAGGTGCGGCCATCTCGGCAGTGTTTCAAGTAGACAATTAAAGCGATTTACAGAGTGATTTATCCTGGGTTTTCGTCGATTCTCAAGTGATTTCTGTCATAATTTAAGGAGGAAACTTAGTTGTTTTGTTTTATAACTTGGTCTGCCACTGTGTGTATTTTGTGAAGGCGGTTGGAATCTATCTCGACTCGTCAAGAGCAATTTTAATTTATTGTACTTCGCATTCCTCATAATGGATTTGACTCGAAAATTATGCTCATGAATTTTTTCTGAAACGGCTTTACATTAAGACAGAACGATATACTCTTCGTACAATCAGGTGGTGTAAATAGTTTATTTTTAAATTATCGGGGTCTACCCGGGTCTACCCCGCTTAGTTCTCGTGTTATGGGCCATTGAAAATGAAGCGATCAGCGATAGTGGGTGGTTCAACTCCTGGGTAACCTGCTGTCAAAACGAACAGAAAGAAGGCAAGGAGAACCTTCCTCTAGAAAGTCGTTGTTCGATTTTAAGACCGAGAAATTGTTGTATGCTAACGTAAATTTTTGTTTGTGTTTTTAAAATATAAATTGTCAATTGTGTATATTATAAATGATTATGATCCGATATGAAATAGTATGTATTTAAATTATTTATAGAAAGACAATATCAACCAGCCAGATCAATGGTCAATTGAAGAGAGAAAAGCTCTTGTGGAATATGTGGCACTTTTCACCCCAGTAAGTCAAGACCAAGCGTTTTCCTGGCCAGCAACCAAAAAAACAGAATTTTGGGACAAGTGTGCTGATGGCCATTTCATGCTCAACAGGAAAGCAGAAAAGATCAGGTACTTTTTAAAATTTTGTAGAAAATGGTAGCTGTTTCGGGAAAAAGTCAGTTACCAAAATTAACCGTAAGCCGACTAATGCATGTTTAGTTAATTAATAATTTAATAGTAATCATTCATTTGATGGTGTTCTCAATAATTGGAGCATTTCGGTTTTTGCATTTTTGGTTTTGCATTGTCTGTTTATTTTCTATGCAGTCTTACAGAAAAGCTGTTGTATTGCAAGCCTTGCCATATTTTGTTTTCATATTGTACTGATGTAATGCACCAGTCAAAGTAACCCCCCCCCCCTGGACAAAGAGGGGACTTGGAGGGGATTTAGTGGCTTTTTGTCATGCAATTCTGTCCCAACCATGTTGAGAATTTGTTGGTTTTGTCATTCTGCCGAATTACGCTGGGAAGATAATGGGGATTGTTAGGGGATTGTCTGCGGCCATTTCGTACTGTTTTGTCCAATGGAATCCCCAGGTTCTACCATTTTATACTATGTGACAAAGGTCAAGATGGCATGCTTCGCAAGGAAGTGAAATAGAGAGGAATTTTATAAATATATTATTAATTTAATTTCTTTTCAATCTATATGTTAATACCGGTTAATATGTCCATCCATCCATGGAATCTATTGTTGTGGAAAGCTCAACATTTGTTTGTTTATATTAATATCTTTTTATTGTTCTTTTGAGTTTTGGAACAAAATATTAATATTTTAAAATGTGGATGATTTTTTTGGCAGTCTGGAGATTGTCCAGGAGATATTATGCAGGAGATAAATTCACTCACACAACTTACAATTTCCCCCTGGGGGTGGGGCATTTTTTGTCTTTTGCTAGAAAATTTTGTCCCATATTGTGGGGCATTTGTCTGTTTTGGTACGGTATTCGAAGCCAATCCCCACCTATATCGGGGGGGGGGGGGTCGGTGTTTACTTTGACTGGTGTATTAAGACTGAGTAAAATACTAAAGTACTGGGCTCATATGCCTACATTGCCAGCTGACAGATTAAGAGAAAAAAGCTTGGTATATTTACATAGCAAAAACTAAATTTTATAGGGAATGCATGCAGATATCAGGTGAACTCGCACCTAAAGAAAAAGTACAAAACATTGGAAGATGCTGAAAAAGATCTTGGTGTTGATCACTTCTCAGAAGGTCTGCAATTTGATGGAAGTGTGGCATCTAGTCCCCCTCCAGTTTCATCACCTGTATTTGCTCATTCCCCTAATACCTATCTGAGAAACCCACAAGTTGATTGCCGTGGTGATGTCATTGCTAATATTGCAAAACTTCTTGGAAGTATGTCTTCCAAGCTCCGGGAAGACTTTATTCAAAAACTCTTGCTTTCCCATTTGCAAGTAGAGTTTGGTTCTGAATACAAGTCATTTGTTCCATCAGACTTTGTTGGATTATGTTGTACGGCATTGAAAATACTTCATGAAAATGGCAAGCAGAACATAATTTACCATCTTGCCAGAGGATTGGGAACTCAGAGAGCAGATGGCAGTGGGCCAAGACTGCCCATAGATTGGATGCCCTTTGGATTGTTAAGCTACAATATCCAGTACTTTTCATCTGATACAGTGAACAATTTACGTGCAGATTCAGACTACATTAATTGGGAGACCACAATGTATTCTAACTTTGAACACAAGTGGGTGTGTATGCAATGCAGTCCAGGAGCAAGCTGAGGGAATTCTTAGTGATGCTAGCTCAATTAGTGAATCACCAAGTTGAGAAAGTAGTCCTCAGGTGGGTTTATTGCAGCAAGTGTGGGAGGAAACGTTTGGCAACAGTGCTGGTTTATCGCTGCCTGAAAATGATGTCATGGAAATTAATCCAACTTCAGCAATGCCAAATGGTAATAACATTAGGCAACCTAATCCTGTGGAAATCCTGCAGACTTCACCTTCAGCAGATGATGATGACAATCTTTCACAAATTAGTTCTTCAAATGTCGATAATTTGGATGACTCAAACACTGAGGAACTGAGTTTTTTTGTGGGCACGATTAAGTTTGGAAGAGCAAGAAAATGTGTCATTGGGAGACAAACTCGGGGTCATTGAAGAACTACATGGTGTGACACCACAGCCACAAAAGCCAAACAAGAAAACGGTTGACCCACTCAAAGCAAAAATTAACATTGCTAGTCCATCTCTTCGAACAATCCAACGTCACATACAAGCTGCACCATTTACAAAGGATTTTAAAATTCAGGTATATTAATTAGTTTGTGCATTGATTTTCTCCTATCTATCCATTGTGAACTACCTCCAAAGAGAGCTGTTTGAAGTCATCACTAAGAAATATATAGCGCTTTTAAAATTAGTTAAAGGCATTTACCATTTAAGCTATGTTATTTTTGTGTGAATATGAGCCAATCACAAATCACTAATTAATGAAAAATTCAAATTTGAATTGCAAACATATCAAACCAAATAACATTTGCTCAAATGCTGACTGTGCCTTTAACATTTAATTAATATGGTTTTCCCCATTCACTGTTTCCATGGCACATGTGGAAGCTTGCTTTGCCAATATCCTGCTAAAGAATGCTGAGATTAAAGCAATACATGTTACCTACTTTCTCATGTAAACAACTCTAGTATGTATGACTTACAATTAACATTAGCCCATTAACTGGCAAATATGTGCCCCACTATTTCTTCAGTATTTTACTCTGTCTAATGCCAGGCGATTTTAGGAATACTGCCAGTAAATGGGTTAATTAACAAATGTATCTGCCCACACGTCCAGTTAACCCATTAACTGGCAATGTGCCAGATGAGCCTTACACAATTTTACACTTGAATGGAAGAATACTTCCTCCATAAGATAGCAAATGTTCTTTGTCATGACTCATGATCTACAATCAGTATACTGACCAGTGACCATGCCAAAAATGCAATTGCTGTGTTTTTTAAATTGTGGAACTGGCTGGAAAACATTATTGCAAGTGAACTTACAAGTTATTTACATCCCCTAATAACAGTAACAGCATAAGAACACGCTGTTCCCACATTCAGTTGTTTCGGGTGACATATATGCGAACAGGTTACTATTGACATAACCTGGAAAGGACATTGGTGTTTACAAGTTATTACAGCTTCAAAAAGTGTAAAGTAATTACACATGCTGTAGTAAATATTATTAATAGTATGTTGGGAGGACGGGTGGCAGCAACACTTTATTATTATGAAAACAATAACAACAATATATTTTGAAAGCTTATATATATTTTGAAATTCATTTATGCATATTGTAGGTTTCTGCATTGAAGAAGATTAGAGACAGCAACAAAGGTGGTCGGTCGGCACTAGATCATAGACAAGATACGCACATATCTGAAACTGCAATACATACGAGTCAGCGGTATTTCAAGTGCAGTAAACTTTATATAAACGCAATAAAGACATCATTACATTTACAAATGATGCATTACAAATAAACAAATCATTACAAATGGAGATTTAAAGATTGTTATATCGATAAATAGGTATGTGTAAAGCGAAATATATATTTACTTTTATTACCTATTTGGGGTTAATTTAAAAATCATTTTAAAGGGAATTTTCCAAGGGAAAAATATAGCCCACATGTGGCATAGTATTTAATAATATTGGTGACATATTCATAGGAAAACACATGGTGGTCAACTTTGCACGTTTGTCGCTTTTATATTTGCTTTTATATATATATTTTTTTTATTTAAATAAATAAATAAATATGCCTTGTGGAAGCGAGCAAATTTTGTTAAATGTTCTGTATTTGCTATTGATTATTGAATACAAGGTGAATTAATATAATGAATTATGAATAATGAACTCAATCCAATAACTGTGTTACTGTTTCCTTTTGGAGTTGACCACCAAGTGCTAAAGTGTCACATGATTCAGATTGAAACCCAACTATCGTCGCATCACTGTTTAATAGTCTGTTAGTCACTCTTTTAAATTAATCTGCCTTGTGCAATTGGCCCATTAGGATTTGAATCATGTAGTCTGACTTGGCTAATTGACTATTAGAGCAACATAAATAATAAATATTTACTAATAATTAGTAATAATTATTAGTTAGAAATATTAATATTTTATTGCTTTAGGGAATACTATACAGTAACCTAGCCAGAGCTGGAGGGACCCCTCTCAGAAAATGTTGCCCCCCCCCCGTACATCCAGGGGCGAAACTAGCCCATTTTAATTAAGGGGTGTCTGCTAGAATTTCCCTGCAAAAGCCGATGATGCCCTGCAGCAAATTTTTTTTGGGCCACTATTTTTCCCAAAAATGTTGGCGAGCCGGGGGGGAGGGGGGGCATGCATGAAACCCTTATTTTTGGACCAATATCTGTAAAATGTGGGTCTATAAATCCCTGTAAGTTACTTAATAACTCTACATTCTATCATTTAAAATCTTTGATTGCCCTGCCAATCCAGATGATTCGTACTTTGGGGGGTGTCACACTCCCCCATACCCCCCCCCCTCAAGTTTCGTCCTGCGTACATCTAACTTTTGTATGCCTTGATTAAGCTGTCCCTCCCCCTGGGTCCACAAAGTCTGAGTGCATATTTTTGGAAATACAACATTTGAATTTTTCTTATATTTTACTAGAAATTATGCACAGTAACACAGTAAATTTTTAGTAAAATGTTCAAGGAAAAGGATCTTCCAACAGCAGCAGATGACACAGCAAATCTTTAGTAAAATGTTCAAGGAAAAGAAACTTCCAACAGCAGCAGATAACACAGTAAATCTTTAGTAAAATGTTCAAGGAAAAGATCTTCCAACAGCGGCAGATAACACAATAAATCTTTACTCTGTCTAACGCTAGATGATTTTACTCATCAAGTGGAGTCTTGCAACTTAATGGGTTAATGAATCAATTAGTTATTACAACTGATTTCAACTTGATTCATATTTAACATTCACTTTAACCCATTTACTGGCAGTACTCTACCACTGATGAGTAATTAATCGTCTGGCATTAGACAGAGTAAATACTAAGTACGGCACATTTGGGCACATTCACATTGCCAGTTAATGAGTTAATATTAACAACATTAAAAACAGACTAGGGTGTCAAAGACTAGTTGGATGCTTCTTTGCCTGCAACAAAGCATAAAGTGGGACTGCCACATGATCAATGTTAGATTTCAGAAATGAAGAGAATCAATATTTTAATAAAATAATTGTTATTAATAAAATAATTGTTAAAATAATCAATATTTTAATAAAATGATTGTTGTCAATCAATAATTGTTAGAAATTGTTGGGTTAATAATTATTGGGTTAATAATTATTGAAATATGTTGTGCTATAGCAGACTATGAAGTGATTATGCATATATAGTACATAAAATGGACATTAGATTACTCAAGCTGGCCTTGTTAGCCAGGCTTGTCTTCAGTGTCTTGGTTAGCCAAGATCCTGACTCATATGATAACAATTTCTATTCTGGCAAGGCAGGCTAGCCTGCATGGCTCATGTAAACAGGGCCTAAGATGATACATTTTAACATCATATAATAGGCATGTGAATATCATACTGGCAGATAATTGAATGAAAGCCTTTTTCCATTGTTGTGTATTTCTACCATTTATTTGTAGTGTTAGCACTTGTTTCTGACTTTCTGTTTATTGGGTTTTATTGATGTATCTTGAAAAGTAGTCATGTATATATTAATATGAAATTGTATGAAATGTATATAATGAATGATTAGGGACCACTGGTCATTAATAATGGGAGGGGGGCCAGTGGCATAACGGAGGAAGAAGGGCCCTTAGGCATTTTGGTGTGGGGGCCCTGTTGACTGTTACTGTTTGACTGAGATCTAAAATTTAAATTGAATATTTATCAGTAGAATATGGAAAATTCTGTGTTTATAACAATGATAATAACAGTCTCCAACACATGTAACAACTTTTAAGAATAACTTTTGTTCTATTTGAGATGGAATACCGTCATCGATGGAGGGTTTATTATTTAGCATTATTAATTTTGTATTTTTCCATCGATTCGTAATTACCTGCATTTTTTACGTTTTCAGTCTAATTTTCTGGATGATAGGCCGTGACTGATGGGTGGCCCTAACTGTCGGGGGCCCTTAGTTTTTGAACTAACCCTACCTAGTGAGCGTTATGCCACTGAGGGGGGGGCGGTGGGTGAGAAGATGGGGCAGGGCAGCTTCAACTATTTTTGCCTGAATTGGGGGTGTCCTCAAAATATGTGACAAGGGGTGACCCCAAATTTTTAATACTTTTAATACTACCTATTTTACACCAACTAAGTAACAATTAAATGTTGGAGGGGGGTCCTAAATTTTCTAAATGAAGATGGGGGCATCTTGAAAATAAAGGTCTTGCGATTGGGGCGGCTCTAAAAAATGTTCAGTATTTGGTATCTATCATCCACCGCCCCACCCCCCCCCTCCCTCTTCCCATTATTAATGAGTGGTCCCTTATGAAAGGTTTTTATCCAGTGAGTTTTACTATATAATTCTAAAGCACATGCATCTTTCGACCTTTATAAAGACATACTATATTATTATATGAGTGTAGTACTGCAGTAAATCGATAAAGGTTTTATGTATGCATAATTTGGATCTTTCATAAATATTGCACACACGGTATTCGTATGAATATTTATAAGACAAATTTACATATATTGAAATTAGTTCACGTACCAAAAAGTGCGTTTAATTTGATACATCTCCAACCACTACTTGTTTTTATTTTGTACTCTTCAAATTTCTCAAGCATTTCTGCTTGTGAAGCGCAAACAAGCACCCGGTCACTATCGCTATACTCGGCTCTGCTCTTCGATGGAAGCCATATTGCTTTGGTTTCGCGCGTTTTTTCCAATTTCGCGCACTAATTTATTTGAATTTTAAATATGGAATACCGCTGACTCGTATGTATTGCAGTTTCAGATATGTGCGTATCTTGTCTATGATCTAGTGCCGACCTGAAATTCAGGCCCTAATTTGAAATAGCACCCGGTACGTCTATAATTACACGCTTATTAACATACTCAATTAAAACATAATCAACGCATGTATGCGTTAAAGATAGGTGTCTCATACCTAACCGTACCTCCCAAGCTATCGCATCCAGTCTTCAAGTGTATTCCACGCGCATAATAATAGCGCGTAAATTTCGCCATTCATACTTCGCGCCATATTGAAAATTTTAATAGACTGTCTGGTATTCTTAATACTTTGAATCTCTGACTTTGAATATTATAATACAACATGTTCACTTGATCAACTTGATCTTTAAAGTCGAAGGCAGACATTATTCGAATTATAATTGCAGAGCGTGTTTTAAGATTTGCATACTTTTGCATATATTTAAAATGGAATTCGAAGCACCAGGTGACGAACATGGCCGCACTCGCTTGGTAATTGACGAAGAAACACTGGAAATGTTAAAGTATTTCTTCCTTCATAAGAGCATGGATTCGTCGAAAAAGGAAAAGTTGCCCTTGATTAAAGAATGTGCAAATCGTGCGAAGCTATCAGAACATCAAGTTAAGGTATTATATAATATTATGTATTATGTATATAATTATTTTCTATGCGAGTTCATATTTTAAAATGAATATTTATATCATTTGACCTTTGATGTCTCCAATGCAACAGTGAACATGCAACAGGTAAAAACAAGGAGAATGGTGCCTCCATCATAATGATGAGAATAAATAGGGAGTCTTCTCTCCCCTCTACAGAGGCTTCAAATTAACATGAAATGGGAGAATATTAATATAATTTGAGATCAATAATGGGAGAATATTTGTAGAATTGGTATTAAGCCGGTTACAGACGAGCAAGTTTTCTGGCATCAAGGATTTTTAAGAATGGTTTAATAGTATGAATCTGAGGGTCAAATCAATAACAATACATGAGAATAATTTATTGTATTAAAAATCAATATAACAACACATGAATACCATAATATAATAATAGACATACATTTATATAAATGTATGTGTTTTTACTGTTTTATATTAGATGTTTTGGTATTCATGTGTTGTTATTGATTTTATTGATTTTATTGATTTTAATTCTTTTCCAGCATTGGATAAATAACTACAAGTCCAAAATAAGTGGACGCATGTCAGCAAGGAAAGCAAAAAGTAAGCTCATCAGAAAAAGGTCTGGGTTTAACATGTTTGCCAGCGAGAGTCTCCTTAAAGGTACTGTACATACATAAATAGTTGATGTAATTGATATAGTGAATATATTAGAACCATATTAACCAGCTGTATTGCAGCAAAATGTGTCTTATATTATTAATCCATTGAGCTATGAGCTGCAATGCACCTCAGTGCGCCTTACTTCTTTTCTTTACTTGTCTATAGCCAGATGATTTTACTCGTCAATGGGGAAGTTCTGTAGCTTATTGGTTAACCCATTGAGTCGCATTGCACCCTGATGCACCCTACTTTAGTATTTTACTCTGTCTAATGCCAGATGATTTTACTCATCAAGTGGAATGCGCTGGCGCTTAATGGGTTAACTGGCCTATCTGCCCATGTGTCTAGTTAACCCATTGAGTCGCATTGCACCCTGATGCACCCTACTTTAGTATTTTACTCTGTCTAACGCCAGACAATTTTATTCGAGAATCGAGAAAGGGAGAGCACTGGCTCTTAATTGGTTAAGCCACAAAGCCTCAACCCACCTTAGCCCCAAAATTGGCTGCATTTTGTATTTTTCTCATAAAATGCATTTAAACAGATAATTTGTACATATGAGCATTTATATTATTCTTTCAATCTTTAATTATTAAGGATATATCATGAGAAGTTTTTAAAATTAACTTTCATTTTGCTACATTTTGGATAGTTTCACTAAACATCTTCAGGCTATTTACAACTTTGTCTAACTATCTGAAGACAGGTAGTGAAACTACCCGAAACGCAGCAAAATTAAAGTTAATTTTAAAAAGTTCTCATGATATATCATTAATAATTAAAGATTGTATTGTTTATTTCTGGTCATTTTGCCACTCACATCACATATGTATCATACAACAGTATAATGTACCAGAGTATATGTGTTTATAGGGCATATGTGTTTATGTGTTTTTGGGGTTTTTTGTTTTTGTTTGTATATATCTGCTAACCTTAGTATTTATTTATGATAATATAATATACACACAAGTTGTAGCTGCCTGTTAAACAATACCAAAAAAATTTCAGACATGCTAAATGCTCATATTAAGTATGCATGGTACAAGTGCATTGTCGGTCAGTATAAACTGCAGACTGCAGACCAGGTATAATGTGCAGAATGAGACTAAATTGCAAACCGAATACACAGACTTGGTATAAAATGCTGACTATAAATTATATATAATATTCTTAAGAAAATACAAAATAAAATTGTTTATCTCACACTTCCTGATTACATGAAAAATCTCAATACAGACAGTGTCACCCCAATCTGAAAATTGAATAGATCATCGATTTATAAAACAACTTAAATAGATGCATGATAATGATCTATTTAGGGGAAACTAATGAATGCCTAATCCCCACCTCACCCCCTCCCTAACCCCTAATGAGTGATAACGTATTGTCTATATTGGGGTTATGGAGGGGGTGGGGGTTAGGCATTCATTAGTTTCCCCTAAATAGATCATCATCTATTTAAGCTTTTTTTGTAAATCGATGATAATGATCTATTCAATCCCAAGACTGGGGTGGCTCGGAACATAACGCTGTATGGGTTACATGAGTATGTAACAATAGAAGTCTTACTTGACTATTAAAAAGTTTATACGACACTGTCTGTACATTGATATTTTTCATAAACAATTTTCCTTTGCATTTCCTGATGAATATTATATAAACTTTATAGTCTGCATTTTGTACCAAGTCTGCATATTTGGTCTGCAATTTATACTCATTCTGCACATTATACCCGGTCTGCAGTTTATACCGACCGAATGCCTTGTATTTTTGGAAAAAATAAGTAAAATACAGCCAATATACAGCCAATTTTGGGACTATGTTAGATAAGATTAATGTTAATCCATTACTGTAATAAAATATTTTAGTGGGAGACAGTATTGCAACTCAATGTACATGTATTACACATTGTTATTTTACTCCAAACATTTTTTATTTTTAGAAAGCAGTGATTCTCGGTGTGATGCTTTCAAAAACTTAGGTCAGCAGTGGACGGAAATGACTGATGATGAAAAGCAACAATATAAGACAAGAGCCTTGCTCTGTGAGAAAGATGTGTCCTCACCATCAAATGATGTGAAGGCCAAAAAAAATTATAAATAATATGATGAAAGAGGTAAATAACACAAATTATGGTAATGAATTACAGAGAGATGTTTAATATACAATACATATAAGTATTGTGCATTTTTTACTATCCATCTATCTATCTATCTATCTATCTATCTATCTATCTATCTATCTATCTATCTATATGTATCTATATGTATGTATCTATCTATGTATCTATATGTATCTATCTGTCTCTGTCTTAATCTTGAAATACAAGGTGCAAGAATTGGAAGCTTTAGGAGGACACTGTTTGTTAATCTGTGGGTATGGTGGCATTGTGTATCATGGTACAACAGAAGTTGGTAGTAAGATGTTGACCGGAGAAATTGATTTGGTTGATAATTTTGCTGACCTGCTCCAATGTATGTTTTTCATGTATTCATGTATTCTACTTATAGTACAGTACATGTACAACACCTGCACTTAAGTGTCCTTTCCTCAGTGTAACCTATTGAGCTGCAGAGCTTGCCCATGAATAGAATTGTCTGGCATATTAGGTAGGTTAAAAATATAGTTAGGGCACACTGGGGTGCCTTGCAGCTTAAAGGCACAGTTCATGTCACCATCTGAGCAATGTGATATATACCGTACTGTATTAGTTAATAGGGAGTTTAAGATGCCGACAATGAACAACGGGTACGGACTACGGTTGAAAGCTTGTTTTCGCATTGTTTTCGCATTGCTTTAACTGAGGCAGACAAAATTTACATATCCCCAGAGCATACTTTTCACCGTAGCGACCTTGGCTACAGCGTAAAAATCACATTCTTGTGTTGTAAAACAATATAGCACCGAAACTGACTACGCAACGTTGCAGGTTGGAGAGTATTTTTATAAGGAAATTATTAAAATTAAAAGATGAAACTTACTGAACACAAAACCATGCACATAAAACATATTTGGGATAAATTTGTTATGACAATCATTTAGTATTTGCATATATATAACAAAAACTATTTCAAACCTAGTCGGTAGTTCGTCGTCAAGATCTTAAATCCCTAATGAGTCATTATCAGCCACATATTTAGGTCAGTCCTTTAATCTTGTACAAATATGAAAAGGTTCACAAACTTTCAGGTTTTTTTGTTAATAGATGCTTTTACACGTTGGCAATACTGGGATCTGTATGTGATTTCGGGATTCACTATAGACCCATTGCACTGACGTCACAAATCCTTAAAGTGTCCTCCAGATGCTCCCTAACAATATCTGTTCGGGTACTACAACCACATACAGCGCAAAAATTAACCATTTTAATACAAAATCATTATAAAGTTTTACAAAATTTGCTTTGTTTACAAAAGTTATATTATGCATAGATTGCTAATTTGTCGTCCAAATTCGACATATACCTTCTTTTTATGGGTTTTGCATCCACAAGTCAAACTATTGGTAACGAAGCATCCCAACAAATTTTGTAAAAGTTTTCTTTTTTTTTAAGATTCCAACGTTGGAAAAGTGGACATTTCTGTTAAGTGTATTCAGGAACTGTTTAATATGAAATACGGTAAGTGTATAAGAGTATATGATCAAGGACGTCTGAATTGCTGCTTTCCGTTATGGCTGCAGTAACAATGGTCTGATTTGAATATGCATGAACAGAGTTAATGTTATAATGATTGTTTTTTTATTTTGTACAGGGGAACTTGTCAAACGGAAACACGCCAAAATGCCGTACTCGAAATTGAATGAGTATGGGATTATTTTCATGGGCCTTCCACCTCACTTAGAGATAGAAATAGGAACGACACCAAGAAAGCCTGCCTTGTATGGCTCATCGCAACGGCGTGAATTGTGGCTCCACAAAAAGAGTTGGTCCTTAGCAACTCATCCTTTCTTCCAGTCTTCCTTCTTGTCTTAATACCTCAACATCTTCCGTATCTTCTAGTCCTTTTTCTTCTTCAAATACTTCCACTCCTGTTGTTTCTTCCAGTCTTCCTTCTTGTCTTAATACCTCAACATCTTCCGTTTCTTCTAGTCCTTTTTCTTCAAATACTTCCACTTCTGTTGTTTCTTCTAGTCTTCCTTCTTGTCTTAATACCTCAACATCTTCCGTTTCTTCTAGTCCTTTTTCTTCAAATACTTCCACTTCTGTTGTTTCTTCCAGTCTTCCTTCTTGTCCTAATACCTCAACATCTTCCGTTTCTTCTAGTCTTTTTTCTTCTTCAAATACTTCCACTTATGTTGTTTCTTCCAGTCTTCCTTCTTGTCTTAATACCTCAACATCGTCCGTTTCTTCTAGTCTTTTTTCTTCTTCAAATACTTCCACTTCTGTTGTTTCTTCCAGTCTTCCTTCTTGTCTTAATACCTCAACATCGTCCGTTTCTTCTAGTCTTTTTTCTTCTTCAAATACTTCCACTTCTGTTGTTTCTTCCAGTCTTCCTTCTTGTCTTAATACCTCAACATCATCCGTTTCTTCTGGTCCTTTTTCTTCTTCAAATACTTCAACTTCTGTTCCCTTCAGTCTTCCTTCTTCTAACATTTCCAAATCGAACGATTCTCCCGCAACGTTATCTTCTCTACATGACCTGCATAGGGGGAAAATCATAAACGTCCCAAAAGGTACAGTGATTTATAAATGTATCTCGCTATAGTAACTTGCTTACGGCTAAACATATACACATACGTGTACCTTAAATTTTGTATGGTATTACTGTGCGAGTATGAATACATTTGTTCAGTGTGTGTTTGGTGGCGCATACTTGTAGAAGTGTTTCGGGTCAGTAATAATTAATACCAATATAGAAAATTGGTAAAAAGTTCTAATGTCATAACGAAATCATCCTTCTAACTTTGACCTCATGCAGCGAAATATCATATCAAAATAGTATCAAGATAAACGCCCGTATTCTAAAAGCTTACTCACACTCAAACTCAATGAGTGGAGGTTCAATCTGAGCTTCTCTTGAGTGTCAGTGCTGTTTTTAAATAGCTGGAGGGTTAGTGTCGTACCTTACTATGCGACTACTCATCCTCCAGCTATTCAAAAACAGCCTTGACACTCAAGAGAAGCTCAGACTGAACCTCCACTCATTGAGTGTGAGCGTGAGTGAGCTTTTAGAATTCGGGCGAAAGAGTCCAAGACGTTTTCGGTTTTTTTATATCTGTTCTCGAGGTGTTCACCTTAAAGAATGCCAATGACTTGTGATGTCATTTCACTCCCGCATGATAAATACTTATTAGATTTTCTAAACGAAAAGAACCTCTATAAAATTATAAGTAGAACTTTAAATTGTATAATACTATAGCACGTGCAAAGTTTCCGTGAATTCTGTTTCTCTTGGAGACAATGTGAAGGTAGCAAATCTCATTTAGTGTACATGAGTAAAATCACAACTCTGCTAAAATGTCCATATGAATACCTCGACATCGAGACAACAAACTGTATCGCGAGACCTAAAATACTATGATGGCTTATTTTGAAATATATTTCCAATAGGAATCAAAATTAGAAGATGGCACATTAATATAGATATGGTGTCACGTGTCCGATAACAATTTGAATCGAATCGCGATTTAGTTTTATTTTGTGAATAATTATAAAGAGCACCACTAGAAATGTACTTCTTTCTTCTATTGGTAACGTTAACAACTCTCCTCTTTTAGATATGCTGTTTGGCGTAATGTCGACAGACAGTGATGTGGTTCATGCTTTGGCAGTTCTTACAGGACGAACTGAAGTACACGGGCGAAAATTAAATGCTGGAAATGTCGTAGTAGAGATTCGGCGCATTCTTGTACCTGGATTGCTTCCTCTCTGTTCAGCAGCATTTGACATAAACGAACCTGTTTGTGAAGGCGGTTTTTATGAGTGGCCAAGGAACAGACTAGCTATCGTACAAATAAAATAGACAATTGGGACTAGTACAGCAATTTGTAAATAAATTTTTATACAAAACGTTTCCTGCTATACATGCATGCGTCAAATACAATATTTCTGGAACACTCTTCTTTTTCTTTCTGATTTAATAAGGCGTTAGAGTTTTTATGTGTATATTTCGGTGTCTGCTGGAACGCTCAGTGATGGCATTTTGATATGCTTTTATTTCGATTTTATCTCTAGATATATCACCTTTTGTGGATTTTTTAGTGAATTTTGTAGTGACAGTACTGCGAGGTTTGTACTGCAAACAAATTAATTTATTTTGTGCAAGCGGCATTACTTTCATGAAATCCATCCCGCCAGACGGGGTACACGCCTAGTAGGCCATTGGCCATTTGGTCAAAAAGGGACTAGAAGTACATTTTCGTGGCACCCATGTAGGACTTGGTTTGTGGTTTATTTGAAAGTCATACTGGTATAAAAACGCGCGCGTAGTTCCCAAGCAAAAAAAAAACTTGCCAAACACTGAGAAAACGAGTGATCATTAATTATCTAAATTGTATTACATAAAAAAAATTTGAAATTTTGTAATCAATCACAACAAAACGGACTTGCATAAGACGTTTAAAACGCGTTTTTACCGCTACTACCCAGTTATTGCGAGATTTTTGTACAATCTTCACACTTAAAACAGTAATAACTCAAAAAACGATTTGAAAAATTTAAAAAGCCTTTTATTTAGTTTTCCTTAGCTTTCTGACTCCTTTCTGATCATGGAAGTTATTTTTCTTGTAATTGCATGAATACAAAATTTCACACTATTTTCCTGTATGTCTGTTCCTGTAATACATTTCAATAGACGATAATCACAGATCGCTCGCTTTTGATTAAGTTCGGGCCGACACGAAACGTTCAATGTTAATTAAACGGAGTACTGTATATGATTTGGTCATTTCGAGACTTGGAGGTAGAGGTGTGCATCGGATCGGATTGGACGTTTATAATCCGACAATTGCCTATGTTTAAAATCCAATCAGATCCGAAATTGTCTAATCCCATCGATCCGAATTTTGATAAAGAATTCGAATCCGATCCGAAGAATTCTTTAATAAAATAAATTTCTCATTCCAGTTGAAAATTTTAACCGAATAAATATAAAACAAAGAAATACATGTCAAGAAGCTGACAAAGTGACGTCCAATTGAAGTATCAAACAAATAATGCAGCGACAACCGCGATAATGCTTTGATAAATGCATGGATAATTAATTCTTACGATAATGTGTGGATAATTAATTCATTTTATCCGATCGGATTTGCACACCTCTATAATAACCCTATAAGGTGGCAATAGGATGATCGTGAAAGTGACCCCTATTTTAGAATTGAAATTACTACATGAAATTTCGTTTCATGCTTACAATCAGTAAAACAAATGTAATTCTTGAATTTCGCACAAATTCATTGAATCTAACAGTGGTTTTGTATTTTGGGGTCAGTTTTGTTATAATAGGGTACTATATATAGGGTGCCAATAGGATGATCGTGAAAGTGACCCCTATTTTAGAATTAAAATTACTACATGAAATTTCGTTTCATGCTTACAATCAGTGAAACAAATGTAATTCTTGAATTTCGCACAAATTCATTGAAACTAACATTGGTTTTGTATTTTGGGGTCAGTTTTGTTATAATAGGGTACTATATATAGGGTGCCAATAGGATGATCGTGAAAGTGACCCCTATTTTAGAATTGAAATTACTACATGAAATTTCGTTTCATGCTTACAATCAGTAAAGCAAATGTAATTCTTGAATTTCGCACAAATTCATTGAAACTAACATTGCTTTTTTATTTTGGGGTCAATTTTGTTATAATAGGGTACTATATATAGGGTGCCAATAGGATGATCGTGAAAGTGACCCCTATTTTAGAATTGAAATTACTACATGAAATTTCGTTCCATGCTTACAATCAGTAAAACAAATGTAATTCTTCAATTTCGCACAAATTCATTGAAACTAACATTGGTTTTGTATTTTGGGGTCAGTTTTGTTATAATAGGGTACCTAATAGGGTTGCAATAGGATGATCGTGAAAGTGACCCCTATTTTTATAATTCAAATTAGTACATGAAATTTCGTTCCATGCTTACAATCAGTGAAACAAATGTAATTCTTGAATTTCACACAAATCGATTGAAACTTGGCCCTGTTTCAGTTCCTTCGTTTCCTTGTCACTTTGCTTGAAGGATGACAATTACCTGTACTTAATATACATCCTCTTACCGATTTGAAAGCACCAAGTACGCAAATGTACTATTTCTTCAAGATTAATGTATCCAAAAATGGAATTTTACTTAATTTGTTATTTCTATTTGCCAGAGATAATTGGCGATGGAATTGAAAATTTTCGCACAATTTCTTTTCTGTTGTGAGATCGATTGTGATGCTCAACTAAGGTATACAACACTTTTTAATTAAAGAAATTTCCTTAAAAAAGACGACCACTGTCCAGGATGGTTGAGTATTAATAGCATATTGTACAATCTTTTCAAAAGTTCAGGACCGGCCCATGCAAATAAGATGCGGGCGCTCTTACAAAAGTTATCGCAACACGAATGTTGTAGCTGTCATATTTTGTCCTTTGCAGGTTATTTTATGTGAAATCCTCAGTTAATTACTTTGAAACTCGAAAAACTAATTCGAGAAAGTGAAAACGCCATGATGGTTTATTTTGAAGTGATATTTCGTTGAGATCAAAATTAGATGGACGATTTCTTTCATCATATGAAGTGGCCCTGTAAGACAATAAGCCATTTTGTGTCATATGCGCTTTAAAGAACAGGCCAGGGGTGGTTGTTCAAAGCTGGATTAGATTGACCCTAGGTTAACCTAAAATTCAAAGCATACCTTCCTGACAGCTTGTCTATAAATTTGGAAATATTTTTTCAGAGATCTTGTCTGGATCGATAGGAGTTTTCATCTCTGAAGTTTTGAAATAAACAGACGTGTAGAAATACATAAACTAAAACAGCAGGTTGAATTTTAACCCAGGGTTAGCGCTAACCCACCTTTGAACAACCGGCCCCTGAAAGATAAGTTTAATAATAGAGAAAATGTTCTTACTCGCAATAATCACAATTACTCTAAATATTTTTTGTATGTTTAACAAAAAGTTTACTGAATGTGTTTTTATTATAATAAAAATGTGACTTTACTGCTCGATCAGTCAAATCGAGGCCGCTTTTGCATAATGTCTTCAAATTAAGCTAAACCAATGACCAGCAGGTTATTTTGACTCATTTTGCCTTTGATTCAATGCAATACATAACTGCAAGACGTAAGTCTTTAACCTGCTGCTGGTCATTGGTTTAGCTTAATTAATTTGAAGACTTTAAAAATATGCAAAAGCGGCCTCGGTTCGCCTGTTCGAGCTGTAAAACAATCGTTTTCTAGTATTGAATTGATATTCATTTATATTTCATTCACGAAATAGGACATTTAAAATGTTAATCCAAATCATCATCTGAAAGTTCAACATCTGACTGGTCACTGTCACCACCATATTCTTCATTTAGTATAGAAATGAAAAGATCTAGCGTATCTTCTTCTAGCTCGTCTTCACCATCGCCATTATCGTCCAACTCCATCTCCTCTTCATCGTCATCACTACACGTGGAGAAGATTCTATCTTCTTCTGGCAAATCTCCATGCTTTTCCAGCTCAGTTCTATCCTCATCCATATACAAAGAGAACGAAGCCTTCAGATGTTGCAACACCATATTAATAAGGTCTTTCTTAGTCAACACCATCGTGAGCAACCCACACGATTCAGTACTTTCGTTTTTGAGTTCATCCGACCAATCCTGAAGAGCAGATATCTTTGAGGAATAGAAGCGAATTACCCTGGTCATCTCTTCTTTAATTAATTTAACTTCTTCAGTACATCGATGAATGATGTGCTGAAAGTCAACTATCTTATGCCGGATGTAATAAGGAACTGGTGAATTGCATTCAATTTCTTCCTCCAGACAATTCCAAATTGTTGAATTAAGATCAGTGATCTCTTCAAACGTAACACTAGGAGGATATTTAGAATGCATGTGCTCTGTGATCTTTCGACCGTATTGCTTGACAAGTTTCTTAATAGCGTTTGTTGTTTTAGTAATTTGACCACAGATCTTCGCAATGGCTTGTCTGTCTGTTAAAAAATATAATAACATTGTTAGATTAGAAACATAGAAGTCCACATAATTATACCCAATGATTATGATATTGAGAATTCTTGAAACTTAATTTCCCTACTGGATGGTGTTGTTCAAATTTAATAATTTGCTTATAGCTTAGATTAACATAACCTGGCATGGCTTAATCATGTTGCCTGGTTAATTAACCAAGAATTTTTGATGATATGCATGTAATTAACTTGGAATTAAGGCTCCTTTCCACTCATCGCAAAACCAACTTGCCAGCTTGCTGCAAGTGGCTGCATCTAATTAAAATAAACTATTGAGCATTGTGATTGGATGAAAACACTTGCAGCTAGCTTGCGAGGTGATTCTTGCGACAAGTGGAAAAGAGCCTTACATCTGGTTAAGTAAATAACCGCAATGTTTGCTTAAATTAACCGGGAGATTTATTTAACTTTGAACATGCTGTAAAACAATAGGGAGTTTTAATATATGCATGCACAGAAACTTTATTTAAAATATTAACCTGCATATTTTCTCATGAGTTGCAGCAAAAACCAACGTTCTAAACATTGCCCACGCATATCACACAACAACTCATTTCTGCGTGAAGCTTCTGCTTTGTTTATGTATAACATGAATGTTGGGTGATCTGGACTCCAGCACTGCTGACCGTTTTCGAACTTTTTTAACTGTTCGTTCATGCTATAAAGAATTACAAACATATCAGAGTAATGATAAATTCATGAATTATTATGTCGATATTGTGTTAATACGGTATTCCAAAAATCAAATAACAGAATCACGCATCACTGTACCTATTTAATTTTGAACTCAATATTGAATACTCCTCGTTGGCCAAATTAATTTCTTTGAGCTTTTTCCTAAAAGGAGAAACACAAAATTTAAACTACCAATCATGGTGAACATATTCGTTTTATTTACTTAGTTACTCCACTGATTATGATGCCTTTGATTTAAAACAGAACACAAACAACACACACTTACGATGTATCATAATACTCTTTAACCTTTACTACATAACGTTCAGCAATATCAGTTGAAGATGCTGCATCTACTGTAAACAGACAAAAATAAATAGAGAGATAAAAATGTGAAAATTACCTATATGCGTTAATATGAAACTTATAGATACAAAGCTTACCTGCATTTTTCCCCACTTGCCTGTTGCTAAACAATTCTTTTTCTGATTGTGACCATTTTTCTATTGTTGCTTCATTCAAGGTAACACGTACATTGAATACACAATACATGTATTATTTAGCAACTTCTCCATTTATTTATTTTCCCCCATAACAAACTATAAGAAAACATCCAGTTCTTCCATTCATATATAATTAATATGTAACTCAATGTATCAAGAACGAACCGCTCAACTGATCATTTGCATCGGCTTTCATGTGTACTGCTTTCTTCATATGGTCGCAGAGACGGTCTCCTGTTGGCGAAGATATACAATATGTAGTAATTATTTACTTCTGGTATGGTTGTCAACGGTACATAGAAAATATACTGCGAGAACGTGCACAGTATGTTATCAGTTTATACGAGTGAATACTGAAGGATATTGATAATCCAACGAACATTTAAAGCAATTTACCCTTTATACAAAATACAATTATTCACAAGCCTCGCACGAACAAAAGGGCACTGACTACAGATATAAATAAACCTAGATTGCTCATCCGATGAAGCAAAATGAATGACGAATAGGGAGTACCAAGATGGCGACCAATTTATCTTATTCATATACAGTGACTGCATTCAGCCAATCAGAACGCTGCATCTTGGAGTAGATGGCGGCGAGCGGCTTCAAAATTCGATTACTGGATTACTGAGATGCGCGATCTAGGTTTATTTATATCTTTGGTACTTGACAAACTTACCAATTTGTGCAACAGATTTCCTTCCATAGTGGAAAAGAAAGTCTGTCAAAGCGTCCACTCTATGTGAAGGGGTCATTTCCTTGGTAATTTTAGCTGAGGGTCTCAGGTACGACCACATTCGCTCCATGACTTCCCCATCACTTAAGCCAAACCCCTCTATTCGTCTGCCACTATAAAGAACCTACAGTACAAAAGGTGAAGTACATTAAATGTATAGAAACAATAAACTATTATACTATTAAAAAACTTGTGAAGAGGATTTATTTTCAAATTTCAATAGTAAGAATTATATATGTTTGCGATGTTACTCTGAGTGCATATCCACACCGGGCGAGCTTGAAAATATGGCCGGCCACGGTGGGATTCGAACCTACGACCTTTGGAATACTAGCCCAATGCTCTTCCAACTGAGCTACGCGGTCAGGACGGTTCGAGTAAGTGATATTTCGGAACAGTATCTAGTTCCTTCAATACCAATGTGTTCTAGTAATATGAATTTTTTCTGTCTTGGTGTTGTGTACTCAGGTGAATAATATGTTTGCGATGTTACTCTGATTGCATATCCACACCGGGCGAGCTTGAAAAATATGCCCGGCCACGGTGGGATTCGAACCTACGACCTTTGGAACACTAGCCCAATGCTCTTCCAACTGAGCTACGCGGTCAGGACGGTTCGAGTAAGTGATATTTCGGAACAGTATCTAGTTCCTTCAATACCAATGTGTTCTTGTAATATGAATTTTTTTCTGTGTTGGTGTTGTGTACTCAGGTGAATAATATGTTTGCGATGTTACTCTGAGTGCATATCCACACCGGGCGAGCACGAAATATATGCCCGGCCACGGTGGGATTCGAACCTACGACCTTTGGAAAATACTAGCCCAATGCTCTTCCAACTGAGCTACGCGGTCAGGACGGTTCGAGTAAGTGATATTTCAGAACAGTATCTAGTTCCTTCAATACCAATGTGTTCTAGTAATGTGAATTTTTTCTGTGTTGGTGTTGTGTACTCAGGTGAATAATATGTCTGCGATGTTACTCTGAGTGCACATCCACACCGGGCGAGCCCGAAAAACATGCCCGGCCACGGTAGGATTCGAACCTACGACCTTTGGAATACTAGCCCAATGCTCTACCAACTGAGCTACGCGGTCAGGACGGTTCGAGTAAGTGATATTTCGGAACAGTATCTAGTTCCTTCAATACCAATGTGTTCTAGTAATATGAATTTTTTCTGTGCTGGTGTTGTGTACTCAGGTGAATAATATGTTTACGATGTTACTCCGAATGCATATCCACACCAGGCGAGCTTGAAAAATATGCCCGGCCACGGTGGGATTCGAACCTACGACCTTTGGAATACTAGCCCAATGGTCTTCCAACTGAGCTACGCGGTCAGGACGGTTCGAGTAAGTGATATTTCGGAACAGAATCTAGTTCCTTCAATACCAATGTTTTCTAGTAATATGAATTTTTCTGTGTTGGTGTAGTGTACTCAGGTGAATATGATATTTGTGGTGTTACTCTGAGTGTATATCCACACCGGGCGAGCTTGAAAAATATGCCCGGCCACGGTGGGATTCGAAACTACGACCTTTGGAATACTAGCCCAATGCTCTTCCAACTGAGCTACGCGGTCAGGACGGTTCGAGTAAGTGATATTTCGGAACAGCATCTAGTTCCTTCAATACCAATGTGTTCTAGTAATATGAATTTTTCTGTGGTGGTGTTGTGTACTCAGGTGAATAATATGTTTGCGATGTTACTCTGAGTGCATATCCACACCGGGCGACCTTGAAAAATATGCCCGGCCACGGTAGGATTCGAACCTACGACCTTTGGAATACTAGCCCAATGCTCTTCCAACTGAGCTACGCAGTCAGGACAGTTCGAGTAAGTGATATTTCGGAACAGTATCTGGTTCCTTCAATACCAATGTGTTCTAGTAATATGAAGTTTTCTGTGTTGGTGTTGTGTACTCAGGTGAATAATATGTTTGCGATGTTACTCTGATTGCATATCCACACCGGGCGAGCTTGAAAAATATGCCCGGCCACGGTGGGATTCGAACCTACGACCTTTCGAATACTAGCCCAATGCTCTTCCAACTGAGCTACGCGGTCAGGACGGTTCGAGTAAGTGATATTTCGGAATACTACCTAGTTCCTTCAATACCAATGTGTTGTAGTAATATGAATTTTTCTGTGTTGCTGTTGTGTACTCAGGTGAATAATATGTCTCCGATGTTACTCTGATTGGATATCCACACCGGGCGAGCTTGAAAAATATGCCCGGCCACGGTGGGATTCGAACCTACGACCTTTGGAATACTAGCCCAATGCTCTTCCAACTGAGCTACGCGGTCAGGACAGTTCGAGTAAGTGATATTTCGGAACTGAATCTAGCTCCTTCGATACCAATGTATTCTAGTAATATGAATTTTTTTCTGTGTTGGTGTAGTGTACTCAGGTGAATATGATATTTGTGGTGTTACTCTGAGTGTATATCCACACCAGGCGAGCTTGAAAAATATGCCCGGCCACGGTGGGATTCGAACCTACGACCTTTGGAATACTAACCCAATGCTCTTCCAACTGAGCTACGCGGTCAGGACGGTTCGAGTAAGTGATATTTCGGAACAGAATCTAGTTCCTTCGATACCAATGTATTCTAGTAATATGAATTTTTTTTCTGTGTTGGTGTTGTGTACTCAGGTGAATAATATGTTTGCGATGTTACTCTGAGTGCATATCCACACCGGGCGAGCTTGAAAAATATGCCCGGCCACGGTGTGATTCGAACCTACGACCTTTGGAATACTAGCCCAATGCTCTTCCAACTGAGCTACGCGGTCAGGACAGTTCGAGTAAGTGATATTTCGGAACAGTATCTAGTTCCTTCAATACCAATGTGTTCTAGTAATATGAATTTTTCTGTGGTGGTGTTGTGTACTCAGGTGAATAATATGTTTGCGATGTTACTCTGAGTGC